CACAAACACACAACCACAAACACACAACCACAAACACACAACCACAAACAAACAATAACCACAAACACACAACCACAAACACACAATCACAAAGACACACCCACAACCACAACCACAACTACAAACGCACAATCACAACCACTACCAGTACCACAAACACAATCACAAACAGACAGCCACAAACACAACCGCAAACACATCTACAAACACACAATCACAAACACAACCACAACCACAACACAGCACACAACCACAACCACAACACACAACCACAGCACACAACCCGAGGACCCACAAGCAAAATCGAGAACTACAATACTCACGACCATAGCAACATGCCCCCCACTATGGCATCAAGACAAATGATTGAAATGTCGTGGTGGGGATCACTCGAAGTAAAGTAAGTTTTGTTTTTTTGAGATGTTTTTTCCTGAAGGCGAGAAGGAGCAGCGGGATCGTTTGAAGAAGGTCTCATTTTGGAAGGCACTGGGTTGGATTGGTCTTGACTTCCTGGTCCTAGCGGCGTCTGGGGGCCCGTGACACTGTACAGAACATGTGAATACTGTACATAATATTTAGTGACCCGATTGCCAATGTTGACTCTTGACTAACTTTGGGCATACATCAGCACATACATCTTACAGCATTCAGGTAGTTCATTCTTTTAACAGTTGAACATCAGTCAATATATGTCAAAATGACGGCTTCAACCCAATTTGGAGATCCAGTTCTGGGTTCCTTTTGCCAGGCTTTGCCCTTCACCGCGCTGCGAGAGCAGTGCTGGAACATGGGCATGCGATCCGCCTATTTCAACTCTGCAGACTTCGGTGGCCTGGCAGGTCTTCAAATAATGGCCTGGCCCCTCAAGAAGGTTTTTTGGGATGGTGCTTGGATGCATTTGGACTGCTATCCCCATACCAGGAAGCAGTCCAAACATAGTGGCTCTTTCTGAAGCTATTGACTGTTCATTCGTGTTTTGGACCAAGCATATTAATGTATCGAAAAATGCCACAGCAACCTACTTTTAAAATAACAATTGGAACTCGAAAGCAACTCTTGACAATCTGCAAGAGTCACTCCGGCAAAGCATACCCCATACCCTTCATGTTCGATTTCAGAGGTTGCTGCAATGAAAATTTGAAATGTTTGGTCCCAGGAGGGGCTCAATTCCTGACGAATCCAGACATATAATGACATATATATATATATATAGATCCAAGTTCAAAAGCTTCGAGAGTTGAGTGCAATATCCGGGGATGTGTTTGAGTCTTTGGGGTTGCTCGCCACCCGGATTGGAGCATCATCATCCCAAGGCAATGACAAGTTGGTGAGGGAAGCAGTTTGGCATCAGTTCCTCGGCGGTTATTTGGCACGATGCTTCTCGTTTCGCTCATTCATCGCCCTAGGGCTCCAAATACCTTCTGGAGGAGGTACTTGGAGCCCTAGGCCCTATAGGGTAGGTGTTTTTGATGAGCCTAGAGCTGTTAAACGCGTTCATGAATCCGAGGTGGGCCAATGGGAGCAAATCTCCTTGGAACGATGACCCCCCCAAGCCTGACAAGGAGAAGAAACCCAAGGAGTGCAACGAACTTGCTGTCCACGCACTTGTCGCCAATACTGCTGTTATGCTAAGTTGTACTGTAGCGCTGCAGGCGCTGCCATGCTAAGCTGACATTGGAAAGTAAAAGCTACGATGGTTCAGTAAGGCTCAGTAGGATTGGTGGATTCATCACTCACCCAACCGCTCCATGGCACTCTGGTCATCTTGGCATGGTGGTCGTTTTCTTCCGAAAATGAGCGGCATCTCTTCCAGTCCCGGACTGGTCGTGGACTCGTCCCCGGCCGCTGCCAGGACTCCTCCCCGTCCTTTCGAGGACCCAATCACCCCTTCGAGTATTTCGCGCGACCGCTGGTGCCAGCACACATTCGAAGTGGCTTGCAACGCTTGCTGCTTGAAAGCACAAGGACTCTAAGACTCCACGAAAAGAGGTGACAAGTGTCAAGTGTCAGAGATTCAACAAGAACGTGCCCTCCATAAAATTCATCCCAGTTCACTGGAGAGGCCTGAAATGCAACTGGGAGGCTGCTCTTGGTCATTCATGCTGGCAATTCCATGAAGGACTTTGTTGATACAGTAAGCCCAGCAACGACGAACCACTTGAAGACTTGTTTCTTTTCTTCTCTCCACCATTGCCGAGTCCAGGCTACTGCCAAACGATGCCAGCGTAGAGGATGTGAAGAAGGCATATCGAAAATTGGCCTTGAAGTATCACCCGGACAAGAACAACAAGGACTGACAAAACCATGTGGTTCTGAATGTGAGAAAGCATGAGAAACCACTGACGAATAATCTCCGTTGTTGAATGGTACGTGCTTTCATCTTCTTGTGTTGCATGCTTGTTGATTTAGGATGAAGCCATGGAGAAGATCGCAACGCAGCTCGGTGTTTACCAAGACATTTCACACGCTTCTTACACGCTTCGCGCAGCTCGTTTGTTTCGGTGTGTGTGTGTGTG